AAGAATAAAAACGAGCCAGTTTGAGTCGGAATAACAAAAAGAACTGCCAGTTATTGATACTGAAAATGTTCTTGCATAAAAAACAGCGTAATATAACATCGTTTCATTGTTTTATGCAGATCTGCTTTGGAAGAATGGAGGATGAATGCTGACATGGGACCTGGGAGATATTCAGGTACTGAATATGACCAGGACACCGGGGAAAATATTTTTGTGTATTTGCAAGGATGTTTTCTTGTGTGTCAGGAGATGAAAACTAACTAATAAAAGGATTTTCTGAATTAAATTTTTATTTGAAGCAAAATGGCCTACCGGAAACAACACCTCCTTCATTTTAAAGAAGGAAAAAAGGTAAATTATGAAAAATGATGGTAGCCTTTACGAGAAAACCAGTTATTTTTTTCATATCCTGCTATTCGTGCATTTAAAACGAATTATTTTTAGGTAGTCAGGATATTTGGGAAGGGCACAGCAGCTGGGTCAAGCACTTTTTGAAACAAGTGCTTCGAGGTAAGAAGCAGGATTTGATACAAGCAATGTGTGCAAATAAAACGAAGCAAGAGATTATGGATAACCTGGAAAGATGGGTCAGTTCACAGGGATCAAATGTTCAGGTCAGCTCCTAAATTTTCGCTTCTGATGGTGCATTTCTACTGAACTGCTCGTTGTTTAGCCCAGACAAAAATTTCAGGAATAATCCAGAAGCGCCTGAAGCCAATATTTTCGTGTGCCCTCCAGGCAAATGCTGCACATCCACAGTTTTTTATGCGTGCATTTTATGTAGTGCAAAAACGCATATTGTCGGTGATTATCTGTGTGTGCGTGTCTGTTTGTTCGCTTGTATCGATTTTTCATCCCGAGACCTAAAAAGTTATAAGGCTGAAACTTCAGGAGCTTAATCTACATGCACATACTGTCCCCACCCCCAACATGGGCTCTCTTACCTAAGTGGTTCCCATGTAGCCCACGAAAGTTTTTTGCGAGTAAGTTGCTAGCTTAGGAAACTAAAAAGCTGAAATTTTAAAGGGATGTTCTCCATTCACGTAGAATTTAATGGGCTTCAGTTCAGATCCCAGGTGTGTGTGATTCCAACTTACGAGTCTGTGAAAATTTTTGGTGGGGAATTGCTAACTCGAGAAACAAAACCCAGGCTGGAACGCACGGGGCGGGCCCGTGCGATCACGCGTTTC